AGGCCCAACGAGCCCTCAACCTGTGTTTGACCCCCCCCCCTGGTTCGAACTGGAGGGGGTCCTGTCCTGCCAGTAATGATACACAGTGCTCTGTCAGATGTCCCGAAGAGGCCCCCAAGACGGCTCAAGAGGCCCCCAAACCGGCCCAAAAGGACCCCACGAGAGCCACAAGGCGGCCCCGACAGATCCTGACAGGCTCCCAAGACGGCTTCTGAAGGGGCCAGATGGCGCAAGAGCGCCCGAAGACGGCCCACGAGGACCCCCAAAAGGTCCCCAGAGGCCCAAAAGAAGCTCCCCAAGCAGCCCCCCAAGAAGACTCCAAGAGGCCCCCAAGCAGCCCCTAAACGGCCCCATGCAACCACCAGGATACCCGCGAATTGCAGACGAATGGCGCGGTGTTGCAATTCTCATCGGAATTTGAACTTGGCGTTGCCGTGTGCTGACACGCGGTGGCTGCCAATTGCCCTTGTGCACGTTCGCGCGCTCGTCACGACGCAGAAACGGGGCGTGGCACCGGCAACGCCCCGGGTGCAGAACGACACGGCAGACGAGCACGGCAAACCATACAACGCCCAGTTTTTGCGTGCCCCAGGCGTGCACCCCGCGAAGCGAGAGGAATCACACGTCGAGGGGCAGATACTTGGGGGAACAACAAATTATCCCGGCAAAGCAACCTAACAGCGATGTGTAGAAGCATATCTGAAAGCATTCCCCTTAAGATTCAGATGAAAATCCAGTTGTCGAATTCTGCTGTTCTCGCAGTCGTAGTCGCATTCGCGATGACAGTCGCAGCGGCAACGGCAGTCGCAGTCACAGCCTCAGCCTCAGCCTGCCTCCTCCTCCTCCTCCTCTTTCTCCTGCTCCTCCTCCTCCTCCTCCTCCTCCTCCTCCTCCTCCTCTGCTCGTCCTCGTTCTCGTCCTCCTCGTCTTCCTCCTCGTCCTCCTCCTCCTGGTGCTCTCTCCTCTCGTCCTCCTCCTCCTCCTCCTCCTCCTCCTCCTCCTCCTCCTCCTCCTCCTCCTCCTCGTCCTCCTCCTCCTCCTCCTCCTCCTCCTCCTCCTCCTCCTCCTCCTCCTCCTCCTGGTAGTCCTCCCCCTCCTCCTCCTCCTCCTCCTCCTCCTCTTCCTGGTCGTCCTCGTTCTCGTCCTCCTCGTCTTGCTCGTCCTCCTCCTCCTGGTGTTCTCTCCTCCTCCTCCTCCTCCTCCTCCTCCTCCTCCTCCTCCTCCTCCTCCTCCTCCTCCTGGTGGTCCTCGTTCTCCTCCTCCTGGTACTCCCCCCCCCCCCGTCCTCTCTCCTCCTCCTCCCCTCCTCCTCCTCCTCCCCTCCTCCTCCTACTCCTCCTCCCCCTCCTCCTCCTCCTCCTGGTCGTCCTCCTCCTCCTGCTCGTCCTCCTCCTCCTCCTGCTCGTCCTTCTTCTCCTGCTCCTCCTGCTCCTCGTCCTGCTCCTGCTCGTCCTCGTCCTCCTGGTCTTGCTCGTCCTCCTCCTCGTCGTGCTCTTGCCCCTGCTGAAAATGTGGCCCAGGAATGGGAGTTCTGGGAAGTCGAAGAGCACGAAGTTGCCTACAGTTGGCTACGGGCATTCAAAATGTGGCCCGGGAATGGAGTTCTGGGAACTCGAAGAGCACGAAGTGGCCTACAGTTGGCTCCGGGCATTCAAAATGTGGCCCGGGAATGGAGTTCTGGGAACTCGAAGAGCACGAAGTGGCCTACAGTTGGCTCCGGGCATTCAAAATGTGGCCCGGGAATGGAGTTCTGGGAACTCGAAGAGCACGAAGTGGCCTACAGTTGGCTCCGGGCATTCCAAAATGTGGCCCGGGAATGGCGTTCTGGGAGGTCAAGGAGCACCAAGTGTGTGACTGTTGCATCCGGTTATTCAGAATGTGGCCTGGGAATGGGGTTCTGAGAGGTCGACGAGCACGAAGTGTGTGACTGTTGGTGAAAAACGAGCCCGGCACAGGCCCGGCCGGCAACTCCCAACGCCTGCCCGGACCCCCCTGTGGAGTGATCTGTGAGCTCTTTTGAGTCAACTAGAAACCTATCAGTCTTCGCTGTTAGGTAATTACATATACAAATGCTCTCCGGACCTCTTCTGGGGTGTACTGTGACAAAGATGTCGAAGCGAATCCAGCCGTGACGACGAGGTAAACGTGGCGGTATCGGTCTCTACTGGTGCTGTGCCATTCGGGAAACTTCCGGACGCCTCTGGATAGCTCTGTCGTCCTTTGGCCCTCGCACACCTTTGCTCGCTTCAGATACGATTCGAAGGACGTGCAGGAGACAACGGATCAGCCAAGGGGGGCTCCAGCGGGTCCTCGGCGAGCCGTCGGGGAATCGGGGAGGACGCCTTTTGGAGGGACTGCTGAATCGTCCCTGGTGTGGCGCTGTCCGAAACCAAGTCGAGTGAACTTCCAGGGCATAATCTGCAAGGGGGTGAACAGGAACGATTGTCTTCATGCTAAAGATTTGCGAGTAGGCCCGTTACCAGGGACGCCGCCCCCCCACCCTTGCAGCGTCACGATTCTCTCTGGCGCCGTCTGGGAATGGCTAAGAATAGCTGGCGCGCTCGTCACGTTACCAGCCCCCTCCCCTCCAACCCTCCCCCCTGGCAACGGCCGGCCGTTACCCCGAGAAGATGCAAAGCGGGCCCCCCCCCCCACCCCACCCCTCAAAGGCGGGCCTTTCTCGCGAAAGGATCAATTATCCCGGCAAAGCAACCTAACAGCGATGTGTAGAAGCATATATGGAAGCATTCCCCTTAAGATTCAGATGAGAATCCAGTTGTAGAGTTCTGCTGTTCTCGCAGTCGCAGTCGCATTCGCGATGACAGTCGCAGTGGCAGCGGCAGTCGCAGTCACAGCCTCAGCCTGCCTCAGTATCAGCCTGCCTCAGCCTCAGCCTCAGCCTGCCTCAGCCTCAGCCTCAGCCTGCTTCAGCCTCAGCCTCAGTCTGCCTTCAGCCTCAGCCTCTGTGCCTCAGCCTGCCTCAGCATCAGCCTGCCTCAGCCTCAGCCTGCCTCAGCCTCAGCCTCAGCCTCAGCCTCAGCCTGCCTCAGCCTCAGCCTCAGCCTCAGCCTCAGCCTCAGTCTGCCTTCAGCCTGCCTCAGCCTCAGCCTGCCTCAGCCTTCAGCCTCAGCCTCAGCCTCAGCCTGCCTCAGCATCAGCCTGCCTCAGCCTCAGCCTCAGCCTCAGCCTGCCTCAGCCTCAGCCTGCCTCAGCGTCTGCCTCAGCCTGCCTTCAGCCTCGGCCTCAGCCTCAGCCTGCCTCAGCCTCATCAGCCTCAGCCTGCCTGCCTCAGCCTCAGCCTCAGCATCAGCATCACCATTCTCAGCCTCTGCATCAGCATCAAAATGCGGCCCGGGAATGGAGTTCTGGGAACTCGAAGAGCACGAAGTGGCCTACAGTTGGCTCCGGGCATTCAAAATGTGGCCCAGGAATGGAGTTCTGGGCACTCGAAGAGCACGAAGTGGCCTACTGTTGGCTCCGGGCATTCAAAATGTGGCCCGGGAATGGAGTTCTGGGAACTCGAAGAGCACGAAGTGGCCTACAGTTGGCTCCGGGCATCCAAAATGTGGCCCGGGAATGGAGTTCTGGGAACTCGAAGAGCACGAAGTGGTGACTGTTGCATCCGGCCCTCCAAAATGTGGCCCGGGAATGGAGTTCTGGGAACTCGAAGAGCACGAAGTGTGTGACTGTTGCATCCGGCCCTCCAGAATGTGGCCCGGGAATGGAGTTCTGGGAACTCGAAGAGCACGAAGTGTGTGACTGTTGCATTCGGCCCTCCAGAATGTGGCCTGGGAATGGAGTTCTGGGAAATCGAAGAGCACGAAGTGTGTGACTGTTGGCGAAAAACGAGCCCGGCACCTGCCGCCCGGCAACTCCCAACACCTGCCCGGACCCCCCTGTGGAGTGATCTGTGAGCTCTTTTGAGTCAACTAGAAACCTATCAGTCTTCGCTGTTAGGTAAAAACGGGCTACGGGGGGTGTGCACTGCCACCTGGCGTCCAGACCGTGCTGGGGAATCGCGCATGCCTCCGTCCTCCATGCGCTTCCTCCCACTGCGCCTCGGCCGACCGTGGGGACGGCGACAATCCCGAAAAGCACGATACTGGAGGCCTCCTTGATGGGGTCCGAGTGAGTGGTGTCGGAGGATCGCGCCGCATCGCCGATGCATCGCCGACTTCGCCGTGGAGAAGATCGGGTTCCACATCGCGCCGCATCGCCGATGCTTCGGCAATGCGGCGCGATCTCAGGACCCCCTTTACTCAGACCCAATCTTCTGGGAGGCCTCGAGATACCGGCACCGATGCTCCCCCAGACCCTCCACAGGCTGTGCTCTGGCCGTTTCTGGCCATCGCTCGGACGTCCATGCCCTGTCTTTTTGGGTTTTGTGCGTGGTTTTTTGCGCAGGCTGATCCAGGATGCTCCTTCATAACCCCCGCCGAGAAAAAATGCACACGTCCGAGCGATACCAAGGTTTGGCGTCCCGGGTAGAGACCCACGGGCGACAGCCGGCCGCCAGGCCAGACCGGGCGGCAAGCTGCACCCTGGACCAGTCTTCACCGGCCCTTGAGGATCCTGAGGCGCCCCAGGTCTCCCTATGGTGGGAGCCCAAAGAATATACACCACCACCACGTCGACTCCTCCTCTCTCCTCTTTCCAGCGAGAGGGAGGGGGGGAGGGTGGTGGTGGTGGTGGTGGTGGTGGTGGTGGTGGTGGTGGTGGTGGTGGTGGTGGTGGTGGTGGTGGTGGTGGTGAATATTTTTGGGCCCCCGCCTATGGGGTGCCCGGGTCCATCGGGGCATCGGAACTTCCCGCGGGGGACCTCCTAGCAGGCAGCTCTCTCATTATGGAGTGTGCCTGCTGCAGCGGCGCGGGCGCCCTCCGAGGACCGGCACGGGGGCCGAGGTCCACGCTGACCCTCCGAAGGCCCTCGGAGGCTCGAGCGGCCCAGCTGTCCGCACCCTGGCCAGCGAGCGCTGCAGGGATTGCGCAGCCCAGGGCACCTGCGGCGGCGGCGCCCCGCAGGCCGCCGGGAACGTGCCGAACGGCTCGGGCGTGGGGGAGACCACCGCGGACCTTGCAGGCGGCGCGGCGCTGATTTGGGCAGACAGAGGCGGCAGTGCATCTCGCCGTGCAGGATGTAGGGGCACACTCGCCGTCGAGAACTGAGCTGGCTGAGGTGGACCAGGGCTTCTGTGGGTCCAGAGACAATGGTTGTGGATGCCACGACAATGGACACCCTAACAGTCCGGTCATTGAATTTAATATGTGTCTAAAATGTATGAAACAATGTTTTAAACATGTGTTAAACATGTGTTTTACATGTTTAAAATATGTGTAACACATGTTGTGGACATCTGGCAATTATTTGGCAACATGCTTCCTCTCCATTGATCGCCCTCCACAAGTCCCAAGACGACGGTGCATTCTTTGGTACGCTTCCGTGGGGCACCTGCATGCAGGCCGGGGTCTTCGGCCTGGCAGCTTGCACACGGGGGGGGACAAGCGAGGGGCGGGGCGGCCGTCAAGGGAGGAGTGGTGGCTTTTTTAGACTGGCTCGGCGCCCTCCGAGAGGCCTCGCAAAGGCGGATTCGAGGGCCTGAGGCTTTTGAGAGGCGGGGTGCCTCAGCGCATCTTGTTCGGGAGCGGGGCGAACGAAACGGCTTTTGTTCATGCCCGCAGGACGCTGCGTCCGAAGCCTCCTCAGCTGCAAAACTCGCGGTAGCGGGAGCTGTCCCGCAGCCCCCAACCCCTGCTACACCCAGCCGCCGCCAAGACGCCGCTGCGGATACGCACAACCGCACAATTAGATGCTTTAAACGGCCCATGTGGCCACGGTGGGGTCTAGGGAGACATACAGAGGCGACGGGGATCGATCGAACGTCGGTATGGGCGTCTGGCCGTGCGAGGGCTTGGTGGCGCGCATATCACTTAATTACGCCACCAGCGACACCAACCCACACCGGGAAAAACAAAAGAAGAGGAAGAGCAGGGATGATCCAGGCAGGGAGACAGGGGGCAATCATTCAGAAGGGAGCTCTGGCTCCAAATCGAGGGTGGAACACGGGTCAGCAGATAGACTTCACAACTCCGCAGTAGCCCCTGGACCGAGGCAGGGTTAGCAGCGGGCAGTGCCGCCGACGACGAGAGCGCGAGCGACGTCGGCCCGCAAAGCCGCTGAAGCAACTTCCACCCTGCGCATCATGGGTCACCAAGCTTCACGCCACCAGGAGCGCGAAGGGTGGTAACCTTCGCGCCCTTGCGCAGCCCCATGGAGAGTGGCAGCTCTCCCAGGCCATGAGCCCGATGATTTTCGCGCCAGTGTGGGTGACCCCAAATCCTGGTGCTTTGACATAAACACTTGCGCTTGATGATGTCGGTCGACAGCGCAGGGTGGCAGGATCAATCCATCCACTTGGGCGGCGTCTGAGTGAATGGGCGCTGCGTTGGGATGCCAAGCCACGAACTACGAACGCTGAGAAGGGCCGAACCAATGCAAACACAACGCGGTGTCATCCGACCAGAGCAGCCCGGAAGGTATTACTGCGGTCAGAGCGCGCAACCAGCTTGAGAGTCTGCAAATTCCGCGGCACGTTCTCCAGAATCGGCAAGATCAGATGACGGAGAGACAAAACACAGAGGTGCGCACCGAATCCGTAATCCATTAATTCAGCTGTTGATGCCCCGTGCCGTGCAGCTGACGATGAGCGTGAATGCAAGAGCAGGCCTCCTTTGTGCAAGCAGGAGGCAATGTCTTGGAGTCTTTCGGAAAGACGGCGCGTCGCGCGACTGAGCCGCGGACATTCCCCGAGCCGAAGGACCGCCGCGCGCAGCTGTCAGCTCCGTGCCAAACGGCTGCGAATGGTTGGAGGGATGGGGACAGGGAGAGCGCGCGTCACACCAGGCGGAGGGTAGGATGATGAGGGCAACTCAAGATGTGTATTGCCTCCGCCCCCCCCCCAAATCCTCACCATCACACTGGAAAGAAGACTCTGGCAGATCCGTTCTAGACTGTTGGTGCTCGGCGCCCTTGGCACAACACAAACGACAATACCAGATTCGCACGCTTCTCAGCATATAGACATCCCACAGGGAACCAAAACCCAGGCAAGCCGCCGAGACAGGCCCGATCCAGCTTGGGCAGCACGCTTTACTGACCCCGCCAAGACGGCCACGCCTGAAACGACAGACTGGAACCACGGGAACAACACCAAGGACCACCGGAGGCCGCCAAAAGAGACATGCGGGTGATCGGGGTGACCTGTGTTACGTCGCTCCACGCTTTGTGACGAGCAAAGCGCGAGACGCGGCTACATTAGCACTCTTGCGCGTCCCCGAGAAGACACACAGCTCCCTTCCACGTCTGGGATCCCATGGGAGGCCAGCTTATCTTCGAACCCTGGGACCTGGAACCATCATCGGGCGTTGCCGGAGTTGACCCTAGCCCAAGGCCACTCGAACCTTCCCATCACGGTGCCCAGAAGGCCCCAAGGGGCTCCGGTCCCTGGACCGTGAGAAGCCTCCGAGAGCCCGAAAACGGCGAACAACCTCAGCGCCAATTTCCGTCGGGACCCGCTTGCTTCATGGCGCACGTCTTTCGCCAGCCCACGACGTCAACCGAAACCACCCAGGGGTGACAAAGCGGTCCCTGGGACAGCGACAAAGGGAATCCGTGTGGGACGGGGGGGAGGGGCCAACGTCTCGAGCAAAACCACGAAGCCAAATGCACGGATATGGGTTCGTGGGCGCGCAAACGGAAAGCCTATACTTGCCAGTGGACATCGTCTTCCTCCTCTCGCCACATTCTCTACCTCCCACTTTTCCTCCTCCTGCTGCTACTCCTCTCTCCACCTCCCCCCCCTCCTCCAGTAGTACCGCGGGCTTTGGATGCTCCAACAGGCCCCGCACATGAGCAACCTATGGCAGCTCTCCTAGCCCGCACCGAGGCCAAAGAAGAGGCAAGGGCCTCAGGGGTGATTTAATTCGGGTTGGCTCCCACTGCTTTTGGAGCTGTCACCTCCCGACCATCTCAAGGCTCAAGGCACCGTCCATCTATTCATCCATCACTCGTCCTCCTTCGCCTCCCACCTCCTGATGCTCATCTTCCTCCCTCATCCTCCTCCTCTCTGGATCCCTCTGCACTATTACACAGCATGAACACTACTCTTCTCTCTCACCTGACCCTGGCCGGAAAATAGTCGGCCCTCTCCGCGTACATTCTTTACGCACAGGCGTTGAAACGATTGTGCTGATACTATGCGGTTTGTAAATCCAATTGCTTCGGTGTTTCAATATGGAGTTCCCGCTGCAGCGTGATCCTCATTTTCGGATCGGCGATTTGCCCCCGTCGTTCAGAATGGCGCTCTCGCCTTTTCATTGGTTTCGCCCCCATTTCTCCATTTCCCCTCCTACGCCATCCCCTTGTCCTCCTGCTCCTCCCGCTCCTTCCATTTGAGCTCCTGCTGCTGTTGTTACCTCGTGATCCTCCATCATTCTCCTCCCTGCTCATCCTCCTGCGAATCCGCCGCCTCCTCCTCAAATGTACGAAGCTCCATATTATGATTGCGCATAACGGCATCGGCCCTCTGTGCAGTTCCAGGTCCGCGTCGGCGGATAGAGACAAAACAAACCAGCGCAATGGGAAGGAGTGGGAGGGATGCGTAGGATGTCAGATATGGCGCCTCCTCGTATTGCACCTCCCCCCTCCTCCCTCCTCCTCCTCCTCCTCCTCCTCCTCCTCCTCCTCCTCCTCCCCCTCCCTCCTCCTCCTCCTGCTCCGCCTCTTTTCCCTCTCCTTTCTCCTCCTCCCTCCTCCCCCTGTTATTAAGATCTGGGAGAACTCCCCGGTAAAAGCAGCTGGCTTACGACTCGCCCACCGCTCGGCTCGGCCCGCTCGGCCCGCGTCCTGGCAGAAGGGGCTTCGCGCCCTCGCGCGCCAGGGGGACCCAGGACGACGTCATTTCACGGAGGCGGAGCACCGCAATTGACACCAACACCAAGACAGGGGGCTGCTTTCACAGGGGGGAGATGATCCTAGATTTCGGTGTTGGTGGTAATAGTTCGGTCACCTTGGAAGCCAGAATATTACCACCATCACCGAGATCGGGGTCCCCACTCCCTCGGTGGAGGAACACCGCCGATATTGGTGTTGGTGTCAACCTCTAGGCTTGCGATGCAAGGCAGCGCGTTGAACAGCAACGCAGGACAGTGCGATTGCAACGCAGTGCGACTGCAGTGCAGCGGGGGGGTGCACTGGGGCGGCGGCGACAGGCGGGAACGGGTCCGCTTGGGCCACACGCTGGCCTGTTGTATGCTGGGGCAAGTGGGGCGGCGACGGGCGGGGCCGCCGGGTCTGCACGCAGGTCGAGCTCATGCGAAGGCAAATAGGAAAACCCTAAGCGCAAGCACCGTTCGGGCAATGTGGCCCCCGCCGGCATGGCAGGCACATGTTGCTGTCTTTCGAGGGGGCGCTTCCTGAAGTGGAGAGGAAATCTCGCAGGGACGCGTGAAGAAGGGACGTGGGACGGGAGGGTATATTGCAGCATCGCTGACGCATCTCGGATTTACTCTGGTCCTCCTCCTCCTCCTCCTCCTCCTCCTCCTCCTCCTCCTTCTCCTTCTCCTTCTCCTCCTCCTCCTCCTCCTCCTCCTCCTCCTCCTCCTCCTCCTCCTCCTCCTCCTCCTCCCCCTTCTGTGCCACGTGAGACGGCGCGGCTAGTGGCCCTTTTTCCTCAGGCGACGGGGCTCTCGGTGTACCACTGTTGCTCTCTACCAACGAAGGGGGCCCTCCAGGCATTGACACCTTTTTTCAGGTTTCTGACACGTTCAATGACCCAATGGGCCCCGGGAGAAGGCTCCGTGGGGACCTCTGGGGCCTCACGACCTCGCGCGCCAGGGGTCAGGACGGCGCGAGTTCACGAAGAACACCCCCCTCTGACAGACTTTCAAAGACCAGGCCGCGAACTAGGAAGTTGCAAACGTAGGGCTGTTACGCGAAACATACCACTCGCACAACATGTGTGCGACTGAACGGAACGTGCCTGCCGTGACGATGCGGACAACGGTGTCTGACACCGCGTAGATCCCTCAATCTCGAACGACCGCCACTTTCTGGCATCTGCGATCGTTCAGTGCTTGCCGAGACAAGACAGCTTCGACGCCGACGCTGTAATCGCCACGGGGTGAACACGACACGAGCCTGCCGCAGCCGTTCGGTCTCGCCGCGCGTGGGAGGCTCGAGGTCCTTCTTGGCCTGCAGGTGCCTCCTGCCGTGGCGGGCCTGCCACTGGTCCTCGTTCGCCTGCACGATGAACCAATTTTCAGACCTGCCGCTGCATTCACTGGGCGGGAAAAGACATGTCAGATGGGAGCAGCACGATGAGGATTCAGCTTGATGGCCCGAGGGTGAGGCGACCTATCATGGGCGCATGTCCACGAGCTGCAAAGCTAAGCTGTTAGCCAGTGACCCTTCGCTGTGTGATAGCGCTGATATGCTGGCGGCTGACTTGAATCAATGATCGCTTGTGACCTGAAGCCTGCGATACCTGAGAAGGCTCGACACCTGGCTGCAACGGTAAGCCCTAAGCATGGGCAAAACACCAAGACCGTGCAGTGAGGAGATGCGATGCCAGTGCCTTGTCTCTCGCCGCCTCTGCGCCCTGGAGGATCGAGGATCGAAGGGCGAGGTCGGTGGACGCTTTCAGTCCGCGTGGGCCTCCTTGGAGGGGGCCGTCACCACAGCAGGATCTGCGTTGAAATTCTGGTGTGGAGGGTTGGGCGGGAAGGGACCTTCGAAGCCTCGGAACAACAGAAATGATAGATCACTCCCGAAGGTGCACCATGGCTTCGATGCCTTCTCGACCTTCACATATCGAAGGCTCCCTCATCCCCCCCCTGCCTCCACCATCCTCCCACGCTATCGTCAATCTCTGAGACCCCTGAAACATTCACGAACCTCGAGGAACACCCCTACACCTTAGAACCTGGCAACAAATCCACCCTGGGAACCCTCTAAATGATCCATCCTCTCCGCTTCGTCGCCCTCCCTCACACACACACACACACACACTTCCTCTCCCCTCATTGTTCGGGAACTCCTGAAACATACAAACACTGAGTCACCACCTCTTCGACATGTGCAGCACCTTGAATACAGCATCGAAGCCTACGAAAGTGTCACGGAGCACTTCCTCGACACTTCGCAAACGTGACACCCCAAACCATGCTGCTTCTGCTGCTCCTCCCCCTGTGAGAACATCTGGAGCCGCCAGAAACATCAGATGGCGAACAACGGATTACGGAGGACGGACGACGACGACGACGACGACGACGACGACGAACGACGACGACGACGACGACGACCTCCTCGCCTCTGCCCAGCCCGCCGAAGGCGGCCGAAGGGCCGCCGAGGGCCGCAAAGGGTCACACGTGGCCGCCGAGGGCCGCTCGCGAGGATACAAAAAGGCACCGAAGGTGCTCCTCCCCGGATCCCTTCCGGAGCGCGTGTTGGCCAGGATCTCGAAGCGGTTGCACTATTGGCGACGAGGGCCTCCCAGGCGGCCCAGCAAGGCATCGGCATCTCCTCCTCCGAGCTAGACCGGAGCGGCGCGGCCGCCAAGCCGAGCCGCGCAGCGCAGAGGAAGAGTAGGAGGAAGAGGGCGGACGGGGAGGAGGGAGGAGGAGGAGGAGACGAAGAGGAGGACGGAGAGGAGGAGGATGGGGAGGAGGAGGGGGAGGAGAAGAGGAGGGGGAGGAAGAGGAGGAGGAGGAGGAGGAGGAGAGGAAGAGCAGGAGGAAGAGGGAGGACGGAGAGGAGGGAGGAGGAGGGGGAGGGGGAGGCGGAGAAGGAGGGAGGAGG